TCAACACAAAGAGAATCCCAAGTATTCAGACCCGATGACAGTCCAAAACCAACAGAAGGGATCGCCGGACCTCGGTGAATTGATTGTAAGCCGATACTGATGGGGAGACACAGGTACAATCACAGTGACTGATTCCTATCTCTGGTGTCCATTCACTTGGTTGAGCTCCAGCCTCGCACCCTCTCCTGTGCCAGCTAAGTTACGGGCTCACCATAGCCCGTGCTACTTGGAACTTGTTCCGAGTAGCTGAATCTATAACAACAACATCCAGCCTCGCTTCTTGAAGGGTCGGTGGCCGTCTTCCCAATGGCCCGAGTGCTTGAGGCATTTGTTTCTTTACTCTCATTCTCTTATTCCAGTTCTTAGTCTGTTTCATATCCTTCCATACGCTATATAGTCTTACTAGCTTAGCGCTTTGTTCGTCACAAATTCCTAAGCTCCAATCTATGCAATGTTGAGCTCAGGTTTTTGTTATTGCTAATATGATATGTTGATGGGAAAATGGCTTCCCATGTCCGTCTATTCTTGACGGCTGGCTACTTCTACTTGTCCAAGTATACACGATCTGAGGTTTATATGAGTCCTCAGATTAATATTCATGTCAGTATTTATCCACAGATTTTGTAAAGCATACAAGATACTTCTACTTGTCCAAGTATACAAGATCTGAGGTTTATATGAGACCTCAGATTAATATTCATGTCAGTATTTAACCACAGATTTTGTAAAGCATACAAGATACTTCTACTTGTCCAGGTATACAAGATCTGAGGTTTATATGAGTCCTCAGATTAATATTCATGTCAGTATTTAACCACAGATTTTGTAAAGCACTCGACCTGAGGGGGGCCTCGTAGCCTGGTGGATAGCGCGCAGGTCTCGTAATTCTGTGGCGCGGGTTCGATTCCCGCACGAGGCAGAAACAAATGGACAAAGTTTCTTACACCCTGAATGCCCCTGTTACCTAGCAGTAAATAGGTACCTGGGAGTTAGTCAGCTGTCACGGGCTGCTTCCTGGGGGTGGAGGCCTGGTCGAGGACCGGGCCGCGGGGACACTAAAGCCCCGAAATCATCTCAAGATAACCTAACCTCAAGATAACCTGATAACGTTTTCTTCTTGCTTTTAATCCCACAGGTAGACGGATTTTTGTTGAACTTCTTTCATTCAGAAAGAATCTCCTCTGTGAACTTTTTACTACCCTTAACCAGATAACTGTAACCATAGAATTAAATTATAACACAAGAGGTACAGAAAGAAAAGTCTCCGTGGTGTAGTGGTAAGACACTCGCCTGGCGTTCCGCGAGCGCTATGTCATGGGTTCGTATCCTGGCCGGGGAGGATTTACTGGGCGCAATTCCTTAACTGTAGCCTCTGTTTAACTCAACAGTAAAATGTGTACTTGGATGAAAAAACGATTCTTCGCGGCAGGGGATCGTATTCCAGGGACCGTAGGATTAAGGACTTTCCCGAAACGCTACGCGTACTAGTGGCTGTACAAGAATGTAACTTGTATGTATCTCAAAAAAGAGGTACACACCTGTCTTCCCCGTAGTCACTGCTAGGTCTGCAACATACTTGATACTGAGGGGAACTGACAAGGTACACGGGAGACATCTCCCGTCACGCAGGGTGCAGTCGCACCTCCACAGATCTCCAGTATCATCTATTGATACTGGTAATGGCTCAAAAGGGCCACCACTTACGGGCTATTCATGCCCGTGCCACCTTTTGGGTGGCTTAATCCTCATCAATCAATTCATCTGACAAGGTAGACAAGGACAGCCTCATTAAAGTGAGGGGAAACTTGGACAAGAGGGACACAGGTGGAAGCTGGAAAGGCAAATGAGTCGAAGAAATATAAGGAAATGCTCCTACCCTGTACGGGTGTTCAACAAGTGGAATGCACTGAAAGTAGTTATGGCAGCCACCTCCATCCACAACTTTAAAGCAAGATTCGACAAAGAAATAGTTATGAATAGTTATGAATAGTTATGCAGCTATAAAGCAATTGGTACAACAAGGCCAGTAGGCTGGACGTATAGGGCTACTGTAGATATCACTTCTACTTAATCACTGACAGGTAAGTACTCATAGGTAAGTACACCAATCAGAGAGAAAGAAATATCCAGTGAATAAACGTTTTATTTTTTTCCATAGACCCAGAAAAACTCGTTTAATAATAAATGAGAAAATACAAAAATACCACCGTATTACCAGGCCTGAGGTCAGGGGTCAAAGCAGCTAATAATATAATGAGAAGGGTTACAGGCGAGAATGGTTGGGTCATCTCGGGTCATCTTCAAGTGCGTGTTGGCAAGTCTGGCTAAGAGGCTAGTATTCTCTCCCTCGGCCCCTTCACCCTCTCCCCCACCCAACCCCAAACCACTCCCTCCCCCCCTCCCATGAACCCCCCTTCCCCCAGCCCCATCCCCCCCCCTCCAACAACCTCACTTATCCCCCAAGACTATGAAAACTTTCGTGGTTAATGTTTTTAGCGCTTTTATGTGTTCGGAATATTCAAAGATTTGTTTTCTAATATTTTCTCTCTCGTGTGTATCTATATGTCTATCATTGTGTGTATGTGAGAGTTTGTGCAGCTGTCCAAACTTCTTCACATACACCAGTTGCCGGCAATACCACCCACGTCTCCTAAAACTTATATATATATATATATATATATATATATATATATATATATATATATATATATATATATATATATATATATATATATATATAAATAAGTAAACACCAGTCACGTGACCATTTGTTTTATATGCTGTATGTAAGTAACAATAATTACACTCTAACCACGTTTTAATATTTGTTTCTGGATTTAATTTCTTATTTGACAATAAGAAAATATATATATATATATATATATATATATATATATATATATATATATATATATATATATATATATATATATATATATATATATATATATACACATATATATAAGAATATTTTGGTACCAATCATTCTTTTAAACATATTTCGTTGAAAACGACAGGAAGTTTTAGATTCATGATTCTGGCACGAATCTGAATTGAATCTGAACTGGCATGAATCTGAGAATGTGAGGCGAGACCTTACGAAACGCATCACTAGGCGCATAACTAAATCAAAAGTAAAAATGAACTTTGGAGAGTTAATTTTTAATCTTCCAGCTTCAGTGAAGAAAAACATAAGGAATATCGAGAAGATCTGTACCAGAATCATAAATTTTAAACTTTCTGTCGTTTTCGGTATATGACAGTGTCAGACCACGGAGGAAGAATTGAAACAGGAATTTCCTCAAGTATTTTCGTATATTAATACATCTTCAGAAGGAATGAAGATGCATTCCTTCTGAAGATGTATTAATATACGAAAATACTTAAGGAAATTCCTGTTTCAATTCTTCCTCCGTGGTCTGACACTGTCATTATATATATATATATATATATATATATATATATATATATATATATATATATATATATATATATATATATATATATATATATATATATATATATATATATATATATATATATATATATTTTATTAAATATGACCGAAAAAGTAAGATTAATAATTCTAACACGAATTTTCTCAATCTTTCGTACATTATGCTTCACTGTTGGAGGTAAATCAAAAATCACTTCTCCAAAATTCATTTTTATTTTAATTCATTGAATTTTGGAGAAGTGATTTTTGATTTACCTCCAACAGTGAAGCATAATGTACGAAAGATTGAGAAAATTCGTGTTAGAATTATTAATCTTACTTTTTCGGTCATATTTAATAAAATATGTCTACAGGAAAGACTGCTACCAAAATATACTATATATATATATATATATATATATATATATATATATATATATATATATATATATATATATATATATATATATATATATATATATGTGTGTGTGTGTGTGTGTGTATATACTTGTTTAAAAGGTTCAGGAAACCTGAACCTTTATAATGTTTAAAAGGTTCAGGAAACCATATTTTAGCCTCATGTCTTCAGTAGTTTTCTGGGCTACAACTTCCCCAAAACAAGGATGAATTATACGCATTTGTGATGACTTAATTCAAGTGCACTGTATTGCAAAGAAGTATATTTAAGTCCAAGACAATGGAACACAAGTTAGATAAGTTTGGCATATAAGGCACGTTCTCTAGTCAAAACTGGAAGCAGTTTTCTTTAATGATTTTCTCGTATTACGGGATAACTTTTATATCTTCAATAACCTCGAGAATAGTATACTGATTGTGACATGTGTACTCCGATCTCTCTGTACTCACCCAGTTGTGCTTGCGGGGGTTGAGCTTCGGCTCTCTGGTCCCGCCTCTCAAATGTCAGTCAACTTGTGTACAGGTTCCTGAGCCTACTTCCACATTCCCTGAGTCTCCTTCAATTCCTACCACCATCCACTATTCCCTCTCACATACCGCCTACTATATTTACAATATTTTTCCACGTTGGCTTCCTCGTGCCCTCTTACCAGCTTTCAAAACACACCAGACAGGCTACAGGACGTTGGAATGCAAAACATGGACCAATAAAAGGACGCTGCGCGTACTAGTGGCTTTACAAGATTGTAATTACTATCCTATGTATCCTCACAATCCCAATGTTCCTTCTTTTATATATATATATATATAATATATATATATATATATATATATATATATATATATATATATATATATATATATAAATAAATAAATAAGTAAACACCAGTCACGTGACCAGTGGCAATTACGTCACGGATCGCCTCAGTGTGGGTGTTGCCAGCTCCTTCACATTTGTTTTATATACTGTATGTAAGTAACAATAATTACACTCTTACCACGTTTTAATATTTGTTTCTGGATTTAATTTCTCATTTGACAATTCTAATTTACGTTGTTCACTATGACGCAAGGTACTGATTACATAGTAAAATTTTCAGTTCGGAACGAGATGGCAACTCCACCAGACATTACCGTTAGAGCGAAACGTTTCTCGCTGCGATCGGTGTGTCTATAGACTAGAGAACATTTATCTATCTCTGCAAGGTTCCCGAGGCTTCTACAACAGCTATCCTAACATCCATTTGGTATACTTAAGTCCTGACAAACCAGTAAGTCTGAATTCGGTCTTATAAAATTGAAGAAAATTAATGTTTCTGGAACTACTTGAAAAACATAAGTGTAGTGATGCGTGGATTACATCTCTCGATAAACAAATCCAGGATAGCGTGCGTCGCTGATATAATAATAAAAGAATTATAATTATTACAAATTATATCGCCTGTTTTCGAATATAATCCAGTAATAAGTAAAAGAACAGTACGGTGAAATACGAAGGTATTTGCGAGCACACGCGAACCAGTCCTGTCCATCCTAGACGAGTCAAGATAGTCTACTCTTTGTTTTCAAGTGTTTAGTGTGGAACTTGCTTTACCTGTGTTAAGTGTACCGCCTCTTATATTCAAGGTAAGTTTACCCATACTAGGATTGCTCATTATGCTACAGATCTTAACTATCACTTCCCACTATCGGGAAGAGGAGGCCTTTTAGGTTTACCGCCCACAAAAGGGGTATGGGGTGCATAATAAATGAATTAAACTAGAACTCAAGGCCTCCCTATTAGGGCTAGACCTACGAGTGATCTTCCCCATCATGCAATCCACAACAGATGGCTATCTCCCAGCTACCTATTTACTGCTAAATTAACAGAGGTATTAGGCCGGACAACTGCACTAACTTGATCACACGTGTGGTCGGGTCGACTGTAAAAATCTTGGTTAGGCTATAACCAACCAGTTGATATAATTTGTATATATATATATATATATATATATATATATATATATATATATATATTATATATATATATATATATATATATATATATATATATATATATATATATATATAATGTCGTACCTAATAGCCAGAACGCACTTCTCAGCCAACTATGCATGGCCCAATTTGCCTAATAAGCCAAGTTTTCATGAATTAATGTTTTTTCGACTACCTAACCTACCTAACCTAACCTAACCTAACTTTTTCTGCTACCTAACCTAACCTAACCGATAGAGATAGGTTAGGTTAGGTTAGGTAGGGTTGGTTAGGTTCGGTCATATATCTACGTTAATTTTAACTCCAATAAAAAAAAAATTGACCTCATACATAATGAAATGGGTAGCTTTATCATTTTATAAGAAAAAAATTAGAAAAAATATATTAATTCAGGAAAACTTGGCTTATTAGGCAAATCGGGCCTTGCATATCAGACCGAGTACGACGTTCTGGCTACTAGGTACATATATATATATATATATATATATATATATATATATATATATATATATATATATATATATATATATACAGAGAGAGAGAGAGAGAGAGAGAGAGAGAGAGAGAGAGAGAGAGAGAGAGAGAGAGAGAGAGAGAGAGAGAGAGAGAGAGAGAGAGAGAGAGAGAGAGAGAGAGAGAGAGAGAGCAAGAGAGACAAAGGCTGTATGAACCGGTGCCCAACCAGGATTTAACGATAGGCCCGTCTACACTCTAGCCTGTGGGTAACGGTGTTCATATATCAGCCCATCCATCTGTTTAGATAGCACTTATAGTAGCGATGTAGACCCTCGTATACATATTAGTATAATGCACAATTAGAAAGTATCAATTTGGTACTATTGAATTTGGACAAACCAGAAAAGGTTTTGTATTTATGTATAAAACCTAACCTAACCATCCTAGGCCTATCACACACATTTTAAGGTCTAATATAGTACAAATATGTACTATACCAGACCTAGGAATATTTCAATTTGGTTTCTACCTTTATTTTTTTCTTGATTTTTTCTTCCTTTATTTTATCTTTCTTTTTTTTCCCTCCCCATCTCCGCAATTTGTCCCCTCACCCTCCCCTTATCTCCCACCCCCTACCTCTTTCATTCTCTCTTCCAATGCCTACCTCCCTCCCAGGCCTCTCTTACCCCTATCTCCTATCTCCATCAACTCTAGCCCAATTCCTCCTCTTCCAAAATCCCAATATTCCTCATCTCACCCTTTCTCCTCCAACATCTATTACTCTTCTCTCCATCCTTTCTCCCCTTTCTCTCACCTGCCTCCTCTTCACCATTCTCCCCTTCTCTTGCCCTCTCCCTCTCTCCTTCCATCTCTTCCCCATCTTTCTCTCAGAAAATTTTATATAACGATCCTCTGAACTGTTAAGTATATGGTAAATACAACCTATATAAAATGAACAAATCCACAAGGGCCGTGACGAGGATTCGAACCTACGTCCGAAAACATCCCAGACGCTGCCTTTATCGACTGAGCTACGACATGGTCAAATGAGTTGAAGAGTTGAAAGGGCGAAGAGGGAGAACGGCCTACTGACATAGCTCGAGTGCAGGGGGGAGTTGTGTAAAACCCTGTTTTGTATCTCGGAGAGGCTGCAGGATCCAGAAAGTTCAGTAGAACTTCGGTTTCAACTCTTTTGACCAAGTCGTAGCTCAGTAGATAAAGGCAGCATCTGGGATGTTCTCGGATGTAGGTTCGAATCCTCGTCACGGCCCTTGTGGAGTTGTTCATTTGATGCATCACGCTATTGTGATTTCTGTGTGTAACAACCTATATTATAGACTTGACAAGAAAAACTGCCTAAGGGGTGGATAAACATGCTAATGTCTTTTAAAGTGTGGCACCGTGGGCGACTCTGCCAGGCCTATGATACTCCCATACCCCCCATGATTCATACTGAAAAGATGGGTAAGACTATCCCAAAGCATCCGGCCTTCAACTTTAGACAGATATTCTATTTCATGTAGGTATTTTTGTAGCAATCTTTCTTGCGGACGTTTTATTGCCCCGTGGCACAGTGGTAACACACTCGCCCCGCGCTTTGCCAGCAATTTTGCCTGGGTTCGTATCCTGGCCGGGGAGGATTGAATAGGCGCCAATCCTTAACTGTAGCCTCTGTTCACCCAGCAGTGAATGGGTACCTGGTTGTTATAAACGTTTTGGTGGCTTGTATTCCAGGGAAAATTAAGATTAAGGACCTGCCCGAAACGCTATACATGTTAGAGGCTTTATATGTAAGAACTTTTGTACATATATACATAAAGAAAGAAAAAGATAATATGACTGAAAGGGTTAGACAAATGATTCTATCATGAATCTTCTCGATATAATTTGTCTAGTTTTTACTCCACTTGGGGAAAGAAGTTTTAAAAGTACCGTTCCAGAGAATATTTTACAATTTGGCCAGCTGCTAAATGATGAGTTTCGTTGAAGCTTTCAACATCTTCAGAGGCAGAGTGAATGTGAATACAAGTTAGCAAAAGTTAATGATTATTTTGTCATTACTAAATTCAAAATTATATTATGCTAGAAAGTATGTACTTTACTTCATTCCAACATTCTTTAGTGTAAGGGCTTAATTGAATGATGATGAATGCATGTAAACTGAAGTTTAGAAAAAAATTAATTCAAATTTAGTTTTTTATTTGATATATATATTTTTCCAGGTTCAGCAAAATGGAGACCAGCCAGCCGAAGCAGAGTTTCATAGCCTCCAGCTGTACTCAGGTACACGAGGAGAAAGGTCTTATAACCTACCAGATCAATTCTGAAACTATCCATGACGATGACGAGAACAAGATTCGCGTGATGACCATTGGTCCGATGAACAACCAACCCATCAAGGCAGTTCTCCTGTTAGGCGAGACGGGCGCAGGCAAGACCCAACTTGTCAATGCCATGGTCAACTATCTGTTTGGTGTCCAGCTTGAAGATAATTTTAGGTTTCAGTTGAAAGATGAGATTGAGAATGATGGCTTGCCACAAATAGAGAGCCAGACAGAGTATATCACCGCCTACATTGTCTACCATCAAGAGGGAATGGCTTGGAACTCTAATTATATGTTGATAGATACGCCTGGCTTTGGAGACACTAGAGAAAATGACAAGAAAGTTCAAGGCAATAGAATACGTTTCTTCCTGTCAAACAGCTATCATATAAATGACCTTAATTGCTTTGGTTTAGTGGTTAAGGCAAATCAAAATAGGAATACAAATTGGCAGATGGAAATGCTTAAGGAATATGCCTCAATCCTTAGTGGAGATATTGCCAACATAACTCAAATTCTGGCTACATTTGCTTCAGACGAGCCATTGGTTAAAGGGTTGTTGGAACACGCCGGTATCCAGTTCGTCAACTTGTATAAAATTGACAACGAGCTTCTATATGCCCCACATGACGACGACTCTGCCAGACATGCATACGTCCAGTACAAGTGGAAGAGAACTCAAAAAGAATATGCGAGCTTTTTTAACGAGATACAAAATTCTTCAGTAAATCTCAAACAAACCAGAGAACTTCTACAACTGAAGACACTCCTTGAGGAAACAAAGGCAACGCTGCTACGTAATGTGGATCAAATAGCCACTGTGAAGAATACAATCAGACAACAAAAGACCTCGCTACAAGATATGAAGATTAAACAAAACTGCATAAACTACACAAAAATAACACTAATAAAGGAAACAGAAAACTATGACATTGGAGACAATCATCATGCCCACAACTGTTATTTATGTAAGCCAATAACTACTTGTTATATATGCGAAAATCCACCTATTGGTAAGATTATTAGGGAAGCAGTTGCCGCAGGAACTGCAGCTGGAGTAGTTGTCTCAGCAGCAGTAAAATCACAAGCAGGAGTTGTAGCAGGAGCAGCAACAGGAGCAGCAGCTGCAGTAGTGACTGGGATCCACAAAGGAATTGGGACATACAGAGAAAACCCAAAATGCCTCATTCCTCTGAATGGAATATGTGGTGAAAATAATTGCTATCATGACCTAAAGGATCACAAAAAGGAAAGAAAGCCGTATAAAACAACTGAGACTTACGAAACGCATACTGATATATATGAGAAGAAAAGATATGATAAATTAAAGGAAGAGATACTTAAATTAACACGAAAGATTCAGCACGATGAAGAAGCCCTTGGCATTCTGAAGGATAATCTGGAAACCGATGTCGAGGATTTGGTGAAGCATTGCAGAAATATATCTAAACTGAGCCTGAGATGCAGGGCTCTGAATCCTGAATCTATTATAGAAGAAATGCTCGAGGAACATAGAGACAATGTCCACAAAGTTGAGGTCCTGAAGACTCTGAAGGTGAAACACTGCGCCATGATGAGCTAGGTATACACGACGAACTGGATAAATAAAGGATGATAGCAGCAGACCAACTGAGAAAGAGGATGATATATAGAGACCAGCTGAGAAAAAAGGGGAATAGATAAGAGACCGGTTGACGGTGAGACGCCCACTGAGAGAGGGATGAAAGAAACTGGCCAACGGAGATGGCAGTAAGCGCGACATGATGCAGAAACTGAGGTCAATTGTGAGCCGTAATTTGTCCCTAAAATGCCCCAAATGTCAATGTCAGATTGACATAAGTACAGACAAAC